GAAGAGATATCTACCCGTACACAGACATGTAGGAATTGGCAAAGAGCTCTCTTGGTGAATTTAAGCACAGAGAGTGGCTTTATATTTCTGGAACTTATATGCAATAGTTACAAGTAGGACGAGAAGGGATAAGCTAGAGAAGGAGGTGGTGGCATGATCATGAAGAGCTTCTATTTAAGATTAAATAAAGATTTTTATCCACAAAGATGTGGTCTCAGAAAAGAGTTTTAAGTTGAAATAATATGATTTGTATTCTTCAATAGTTAGTCTAGAAGCTATATAAAAATGTATTTAATGTGAGGAGATTTATATCATCTTCTGTCCTTTGATATCATTATGCTGTTTTCTGACTTGTTCTCATCAAAATCGCTACCTTTTAAGTCATAATGCATAATTTCCTCCCACCTCCTTTGCTGACAAAAAAATGACCTCATTTTACACACTTGTGAATGGAGGGTGACCCCTAAGCTGTAAAACAGTTAGATATATTGCATACCCACTTCCCCTTTGTCTCATTTATCATTCTTTCTGCTATATTAAAAAGAATGGCAGGGTAATATGGCTCTCTTTGTATCATTTTTACATAAATATTCAGTAGTGTTTGTTCCTTTATGAATAATTTCCCAACATCTCTTTTGATATTAAATAATTTTAAGAGAATCTCTTCAGACATGCCTCACTGCTTACACTCTGTATTGCTGGTGTTTGCTAGAAACTGCTATCATAAGTAGTTATAAAATGTGACAATGCACTAAAGTTTTAGTCAAACATCAAACAAATCCTATATGGCTTTGTTCCTAGCCTGTGCCAGGAGTCTAGATGCAGAAAGAGAAACAAAGACAATCTCAGTTTCTTGCCAAAGTTTGTACTCTCATATTTTCTTGAAATAAAAATAAGAAAAAACAAAAAGAAATATGCTTTGGAGTTCAAGATGCACTTTACCAATTCAATATGTGCAAAAAAGCTATGGAGAAATGCAAAAGTCAGTTGAGCAAACTTGAAGAGGGATGTCTTAGGAGAAGTCAGAGAAGGAAAAAAAAATCTATACATGACCTAGAAAAGAACTGACCTATCTAAGACTCTAACCTATCTAACCTATCTCCAATAGCTTCAAATAGAAGATCGAAGCCCCCAAGGCAATAGATAAGGGACTGCAATGGAAAAGTCAGAAGATTTTCACTGAAATACATCCAAACTCCTTGACGATACTGGGGAACAGTCAAAATGTTGAAACCCAGGAACAGTCAAAATGTTGAATTGGACCAAGATATCCATCACTGTACAGTCACATCTACTGCCTCTTCCATCAAAGGAGTGCTCACACTTTCGTAATTCTTGCTATTCACAAGAAAAAAAAATCTTACCCTTGCCAGAAAAGAACAGGGGATCTATACTATCACAAGGTGCTCTGATATTGTTTTTAAACTGAGCTGTGTTTTTCTTGTCATCTCTAATTTTTGCCCAATAGTTCCTATTTCATGAGCTTTATTGCTAACAGTTTTTTTATTTTTTTTTCAACTATGTTCCGATTATAAAGCACTTTGAATAAGAACCATAGGGCCCCACCATATTAGCATGCTATTAGGCTCCAAAATATGTGTTAGCAATGTTTAATTGGAGCTTTAGCTTTCACTCCAAAACCTAGATACTAGAAACCAAGTACAACTAATAAAAAACAAACTGCTCCTGGAGGTAACATTCTATATGAATTGAAATGTAACCAAAAACATGTAAATAAATACTAGCAGACCTAACCATTGTAGTTTTTGTGAACTGGTGATTTTTACTGTTTAACTGTATTCTTTATGAATAGAAAAACTAAATTTTTTATTGTTTTTTCTATGTGGATAATGTTACTAGCAGAAATTCTAACAAAGTTCCTGAACACACACACACACACACACACACACACACACACACACACACACAAACAAACTCATGTTGAATAAATTATAAAAGTTTGAGTTAAAAGCTGTGAGCAGCCTTATCTCTTTGGAAATTTGATTTGTGCTTGCAAACTGGTTCTAGGTTGAATCCTGTAAAACTAAATCTCAGAAAAACTGGTTTCTTTTTTAAGCTTGAGCCTCTTTTCAGTGGACATATCCCTTTGGGCTGTCTGATCATTCTCTTTATTTCCCTCTTATTATTTCTCCTCTATTTAAGTTAAAGATAAATAAATAAACATACCTCCACAACTTCACCCCCGATACAAAGGGTAGATAAGCTTCCGTTTTGTTTCTGGCATGGCAAATGAGTATTTGGGGTGCTAATCATTTTAAGCATTCTCCTGTGATTTACTCCCACTTTCTCTTCATCTTGCATGTGTGTGGGCATGTGTGTGCACTCACAGAGGCTTAGAATTAAAGACTCTATTCTACACAATGCATTTACTCTATCCAGAGCCAAATTCTCATCTTGCTTTGAACCCTCAGGGATCATTGACTTCAAAAGAATATATTATGTTCCAAAGTGGCTTCATACAGCTGTAGAGGAAGGCATAAAATTGGTCCCGAGAGACTAGTTCCTCAATTCAATGTGATGTTATTCTGCTGCATACATAAGTAGTTCTTTCTTTCTCTCTGGTGCATGCCTGTTTGTGTGTGTTTGTGATCAAGCATGGTTAGACAAAAGAAAATTATGATATGCTTTCTGTATTATTCTCAGGTAGTACTAGAGATGATATTATCAAAATCAAAATTCATTAATATTTTAAACTCAAGATTCTTTTTATGATTTATGCTATCTTTGAAATACAAACAAGTAGTAAGTCAGATTTTTTTAAAAAATCAGATCCACTGTGAATAAATGGCTAATTTTCTAGGTGACTTTTAGACCAAGACTTCTAAGATATTAATTTGCTTATTTCATGGAGGTAATTGTAGTGGGGGTATCAGAAAATATAAAATAAAAACTTCCTTGTAGAAAATGAATGAGAACTGTATAATCACTGTGTATAAATACCAGCTGATCTATTTATACAGAAACAGATATACACAACATTGAATTAAAAACATTAAACTAAAATAATTAGGTTTTTTATTATAGTTTTGATGTTCAAGCTAATGTTTTCAAAGAAATAAGAATACCCTAATATTGATGCATCTCCTATAACTTTCCCCCATGCAAAATAATTTGTGATTTACATTAATTGATGTCACTTTTTTCACTTGTCACTTTTTTTATTGTTTGTTTTTGGGTTTTTTTTTTCAAAACTGCAGTGTTTTTTGTTTGTTTTTGGGTTTTTTTTGTCAAAAAGATGTTAAGCAATGAACATTCGAGTGCAGGTGTCTTTTTTGTAGAGTGTCATTGGATCATTTGGGTAGATGCCCAGCAATGGGATTGCTGGATCAAATGGTAGATTCACTTGTATCGCTTTAAGGTATCTCCATATTGCTTTCCACAGAGGTTGAACTAGTTTGCAGTCCCACCAGCAGTGTAGGAGTGTTCCTCTCTCTCCACGTCCACGCCAGCATTTGTTACAAGCACCAGATATATTCTCCAGCAAACTGGTATTAACTGAGTAGCACCTAAGTGGACACATAGGTACTACAGTAATAGAGTATTGGGGAGGGGGGGGCGGGTATATACATACATAACGAGTGATAGGCGCACCATCTGAGGGATGGTCATGCTGGAGACTCAGACTTGTGGGGGGAGGGGGGAAGGGCATTTATTGAAACTTTAAAATCTGTACCCCCATAATATGCCGAAATAAAAAAAAAAAAAAGATGTTAAGCAAAGAGGTAAAACAAGGTTCTAAGGTCAGGTATTAATATATTGGGAAAATTTTAGGATAAAAATGTGTTAAACAAATTTTCTTTGTTCAACACTTTACAGAACCTTCACTGTTCTGAAAAAGTAGGATTTGGAGTATTCATCATACCAAGAGTATATTTGCCCACAGAGCAAATGCCATTCCACCACCCTATCACTATCTTGGCATTAGGTTGGCATTTTGTGAACTTTTAATATATACATTTATATTTAGTAAAAAAAAATCATTTGGTTATTTAAAGTTTATTCTTCTAGGTTTTATTTTTTTCATTGTTAATTCCTAGAAAGTGGCGCCACCATTAACTGTGAAATGCACTCAGCATTTTGCATTGTTTGACAACTTAGGTTTGTACTGGTATATCAAGTTGGTGTTTTATTCATTGGAATGGAGGCTTTCTGATTGTAAACATTGAAACTTTTCTGGAATAGTATATATAGACATAGCTAATGAGGCTACAAGTGGCAGCCTCATTCCAAATAAAGCAATATTTGCTGAATATATTGAAAGATCACCATATTTTCATTTATATTCTTATAATTAGATGTTAACAATCATTACCCATTTATTTTTCTGATGGCAAAATATACTAACATCTCATTAAATATTGTGCTAGGAGGATTATTACTTTATTATCTTATCATATTAGAAATGTATAATAAATAAAACAATTATATTTTGACACACATTGGATCAGTATATATGTAGAAAAATACATTTTAATGAGACAAAATTTGTCTTTATTTCTAACTTCCTTCAGCCTTATAAACTAGGCATTAATTGTATTGTGGTTGCTCTTCACTGGTGTTTTTATAAAGAACTCAAGAAAGAATAACAAAACAAAGTTCTTTCAGTAGGTCAGATATACTCATAATTAGGAGATTTCTGCATCTAATTTCTCAATGCGTACTGCATAATTTTCCAGAGTCAAATCATGTAAGCAGCAAAGTGGTTTTGTGTTTCTTTTCTGGCAAAAAAAAAAAAATAGTGTAATATAAAACACTTAAAAAAAAGGACTTTAATAGCACTTTCCTTATCTTCTGAATCTGAGTCTTAAGAAAAGTTATATAAGCACCAACCTTTAGTGGAAGGAATAGAAGAAGAATATTTTTTTTTTCTGTCAAAGTTTACTATATTTCAATTACACTAAAGAACATTTATAAGCTCTAAGTAAGTGTACTTAGCAGCTTTAAAGGCTTATACATTTTAAAAAAGAGACCAAAGCACACACGATACATTTTTTATTCTTCATGGTTAATGTACAAAATATCCCCACTTCCCTTGAGAAAGAGTATCATAATCTAAAAGATACTTTGATGAACACTGAATATTAAAAACATTATATACTATATAAGTGAATTGAATTGAAGTGAACACGAACACATATTCTCCAAATTTTCAATAGTCTAAGAATATATCACAGCATCAATAATATGAAGAAAGATGTTTGGATTTATTTTTAAATTCAAAATTCTTCTGGTTGTTTTCCACAGGGAGGGCTTAGAGGTGAAAAGGTAATCAGGTTACAACCAAAGGAAATGTGTCTGGAATGTTCTTGATATCTGCCCTCCAGCTGGGTGAATGGATTACTGCAGTTTAGGCCTGGTGAATCAAGAAGGTGGCAATCAGTAGTAAGACTTTCATTATTAAATAGTACTGACTGAGAAATCTTAGTTTCTTCTTCTTGTGAGACATTATTTTGTGACAATATATTTTTTTCAGGGCTACTCATTAAAACATCATTTGATGTAATTGAAGAATTTAGTTCCATTCCCTCCACAACATCTGAAATTTCTTCTTTTTTGTTAGTATTAATATCATCTGATACTCCACCAGCAAGAAGAGGCAAACTCAGTCTTTCACTGGATAAATAAACCATCTCAAAGTTTATCTTATTTTCATCATGGTTCACTTCAATTAAATCTTGTAATCCAGGATACTGAGCATCTTCTACTATGCTGTTCCTCCTTTCAGGAATATTTGAAAACAAAGCCTTCTTATCATCACATTCATTTTTGATATTTTGAGGATCAGGATACTCTGATGATGTAATTTGTCTTATGAGGCCCATGGCATCATTGTTTTGAGACACAGCTTTGCTGATAGACTTAGGTGTTTTAAGTCTTTGAGAAGGACGTTGAGAAGAGATAGAAAGTCCTGAGAATGATTTAATGGGACTTTCAACTCTGAAAAATCCAGCATCAAATACTATTTTATCAACTTCCTTTGGTATTACAGAGGCTGCTGCCTCAGCATGTTCTTCCTGTTTAATTTTCTCTCTCATTGCATTTTTTATGGCAGCTAGGTGATTTCTAGCAGCAATTCTTCCACTATCATCCTGTTTTGGTTTACTTGCTATACCTGAGACAATTTTTTTCCGGAAGACTTTTTTGCTTGTATAATTATTGTTTTGCCACCCAGATTCCTCAAGTTTGGTCAGATTGTCGAATTTCTGGTTTACATTTTCTATCTGAAAACTAATCATATCCCAAAATCCATCCAGATCTGTACAGGTAGTTTCCTTTTCACCTCGTTTATATTCACAATCATTCACTAGTCCTTCAAATTGTTTGAAACTTCCCTTCATAAGGAGTCTTGTTTGACCAACTGCTGTGCGAATAAGATCTTTAGCATCATCTGGAATGTCCAATTCAAGCTTCTTGTCCCACTCAAGGCAATGTGAAGTTAATTTTGCAGTTTCTGACTGGAGGATATTTCTGAAATATGGCACATCATGTTGTGGCTGAGATATCTGTCCTTCATTTATTTCAAGTGATGAGACCTCTTTTATTGGAATGACATTTGAATTTTTAGTTGTAGCTTCACTATGATTTAAGACATGTTCTTCATTCCAAACTGTCAGAGAACTCAAAGGACTTTGTAATTTATTTGAATCTTGCTGTACTATCTTGGTAGCGTAAATTTTACATTTTAGTGCCAAAATTTCTTTTGTTGCTTCTTGAGTCTTATCATCTTCTGTTTTCAAGGGGGTCCAGTTGTAACTGGGTGTCAAGAAAGCATTGGCACTTCTGGGAGTCATGGGTGTTACTTGATAGGTCTTCAGACCATCCAGTGGCTGAAACATAAAATCTTTAGGTGCAAAGGAATTCTTCCCTTTCATTTTTGCAGTATTGGCCTTAGGTAAGTTTTCCATTTTTGATGAGACTCCATCTGAATCTATTCCATTTATCATACTAGTTTGTGAATCCAAAGTATTTTCTTCACTATCAATTTTGCAAGAAATACCCTTCTCAGGTTTTGTCTCTATTGTCTTGGCAGATCTTCCTTTATTTGGTGCCTTTCTTTCTGGTTCATTATCATTAGTAGTTCTTGAGACTGGCTTTCTTGCTGTAGTAGATGAGACTGTTCCAGCAATCTGCTTTGCTGCTTGAGTAGCTGAACGAGTCACTCTATTGGGATTTTATGTAACTAGGTGGGAGATAAGACATATCTATAACACTGAATCTAGGAGGTTTTGTGAATAGTATTGGCAGAAATATTATACCTAAATTGACTAATGCAACTATTTCTCCATGTTTACTAAATTATGTCTTATCATTCTAATATTTCAGTACCATAAATTTTGTCAAATTAGGTATAAGTTATTACTTGAAGGAGGACTTGCAGAAGAATGAAGCTAGATCCTTATCTCTTGACACATATAAAAATCAAATCAAATTTAAAGACTTAAATCTAAGACCCGAAACTATGAAAGTATTAAAAGAAAACACTGGAGAAATGCTTTAGGACATTACTCTGGCCAAGGACTTCTTGAGTAATACCCCCAAAGCACAGGCAAACAAAGCAAATTTGGACAAATGGGATTACATCAAGCTAACTTCTGCACAACAAAGGAAACAATCAACAAAGTGAAGAGACAGCTCACAGGAGAAAATATTTGCAAACTACCCGAAATTCACAACTAGAATATATAAGGAGATCTTAGGAAAAAGTCAAATGATCTGATTAAAAAATGGGCAAAGGATCTGAATAGACATTTCTCAAAATAAAACATACAAATGGTCAACAGGTACATGACAAAATTCTCAACAGCATTAATCGTAAGATTAATGCAAATAAAAACTGCACTGAGATACCATCTCATGCCAGTTAAAATGGCTTTTATCAAAAAGACAGGCAATAACACATACTGGCAAGGATGGGGACAGAGAGGAACTATCATCCACTATGGGTGGGAATGTAAATTAGTGCAACAACTATGGAGAACAGAAAGGAGGTTCCTCAAAAAACTAAAAATAGAATTGCCATATGACCCAGCAATCCCACTGCTGGGTATGTAGCCAAAGGAGGGGAGTTTAGTATATCAAAAAGATATCTGCACTCCATGTTTATTGCAGCACTATTCACAACAGCCAAGATATGGAATCAACCTAAGTGTCCATCAGTGGATGAATGGATAAAGAAATGGTGATGCATATACACAATGGAATATTATATAGCCACAAAAGAATGAATTTCTACCAAGTGGAACAACATGGATAGAACTGGAAAACATTATGTTGAGTGAAATAAGCCAAGCACAGAAAGACAAATTTTGCATGTTCTCACCATATGTGGGAGCTAAATATTAAAACAACTGATCTCATGGAAACAGAGAGTAGAATGATGGCTAACAGAGTCAGGGAAGGGTAGCGAGGAGGGGGAATAAAGTGGAAATGGTTAATGGGAGCAATAATATAGTTAGATAGAATTTACAGTGTTCAATAGCACAACAAAATGACTATGATCAATGAGTTATGGTATACTTTAAAATAAGTAAAAGAATGGAATTGGAATGTTCTTCACACAAAGCAATGTTAAGTTCCTGAGTATCTGTAGACCCCAATTATCTTATTCTATTAATTTACATTACATTCCTGTATCAAAACATCATGCATACCCCATAAAGATATATGACTACTATATACCCATAGTAATTAAAAATTTAAAAGTAAGATGAATAAATAAAAGCAAACCTTATTTTATTTTTTCCTTGTATATTATTCTATAGCTAAATTATGCAATTCCACAATTACATCCTTAATTTATATTAAGTCAATAAAATAATAAGAAAATATGTTATTTGATATCATTAATAGAAACTAATAAATCAAATAATAGAAGATGATGAAAATTGTATCTTGCAGTACCTACAGACATAGACAATTCAAGAGTAATAGGAATGACTTCCAAATATGCAATGCTTTTCCTATTTTTTTTTGTTAATTCCAAAGTTTACTGCCAAAAAAAATGAGCTTTTGCTGGAATTTGTAGTGTTTGCACTACAGTTTCTTCAAAAATATAATAGTACATGAAAATTTACTTTACAATTTATTGAAAGAAAGATAGATTATGGGAAAATTACCTAAATTAGAGATTGATGAAATTAAATATTAAAAAGTTCTTAGCCAAACATACCAAGTAGGAGATGCTGTGATACTGTGAAAGTCTGCTTATATGATTTGAAGGCTAAGATGGATATTTAACACTGCGTCTATAGTTTGTAATTGTTGGATAAATAATTGTTGTTGTTTCTATAGTAGTAATTCATTATTATTAGTAACAGTAGCAGCAATAATATCACTGTCATTGCTATTATTTGCCATAAATCTTCCTTGAGAACTCCCTGAAGAACTGAGCCTGTCTTTTGATATTGGATCCCATAAATCCAAATTAATTGAGATATTTAATTGATGATATTTGGAATACAGTTAAGTTGTGATTTAACTATATGAATAATCTCATATTTTGAGATGTCTTTCAGCCATAGGTCTATTATGGCTGCAAAAGTATGTTATCACAAAACAGATTAAACAATAAGTAGTTTAATGTATAACATATTATTAATTGCTCCTCGGAGGTATTATGTACCTGCTTGAAATAGTGGAATAAGTCCTTTTATATTGTATAATCACTTAATAGAGGACTTTAATAATGCCTCAATTTGTTCTATGTAGTGTTCACTATAGTTGTTTACCATTTTAAGAACCAAAGCTTTGCCTTTGAAGAACTTCACATTCCATGTAATATGCCAACAGCTATTTTTTACTGTCTTTTGTCTTGATCTGCAAATATACATTTAAACTGTCATTAATTTCCACAAAATCACTGGCAAAAATGGCATTATGTCTTAGAAATATAAAAATAACAAGTTTTAAAGAAGGTGACTGCAAGTTGTAGAGCACACAAAGCGTGCCATTTTCCTAAGTTCCCAAATATATGATAGGAATACATAAGAAGGAATACTCTTTTATGGACAGCTATATTTTCATAATAGTAGCATCAAGGAGATAACTTATAAAATTTAGAATAATTTTTATGAGAATAATTTTCTCTAGTGGATTACTTTTCATAGTAACCCAAATAAAGTATTTAAAACATAATCACATAATAAAATACTGATTTAGAAAAATTATTAGGTGGAAATACCTGATGTATTAATAGGCATATATCTGTAAATTTTCATTTTATCTAATTCAGATTCATAGGTTTGAGGATGAAATCCCATAAATCTATAATCATGATAGATTTCTAATAAAACAAGGTGAGTCAGAAAAGATTTTTCTTCAGAAGTCTCTGACTACATACAGGAGCTATGAAAAACTTCATCCACTCAGTATTGGAGAAATGAAGACAGCTCACTTGGAACAAATATATATAAAGAAAGAAAGAAAGGGACCAGATGCAAGCAAAAATTTTCAGCCAAATGAAAACTCCATTATTGACATTTTATGCCTTCTAAGTTAATAAGGAAAAAAAAATATACAGAAGCCCATCCTATAACCTATAGTATTATCTCCTCCATTGAGCTAGAAACTCAATGTAACCTTACAAAATAAAGGGAATTGGGATGCTAAGCATATAGACATTTTTGAACTGTGAGATACACACACACACACACACACACACACACGCAATCTTATGCAAACTTTACTTGATTTTGCTGGTAGATATGGTAAAAAATAATAACCCTTTGTCAATTAGGGCTGATTTTTATAATAATGGTGCAAAAGAAACTGAACTAAGACTCAGTTTCTTTATGCTTTACCTGGGCCTGCAGAACCTAAAAAAGTTCCAAGAGTTATGTGAACACTAAATTGTACGTCAAAATATCTGCATAATGAATTTTCCTGGAGATGAGTAGTCATAAAATTTTCAAATATATCTATAATCTCAAAATAAAGTACCATTTTCCAAGACATATAATCTTATTACATTGGATCACATCTGCAGTGTGGCTCAGTATACTAATGAACAAAGTGGAGGAAGGTGGTAACAAGTTGAAGAAGTAAGTTGATGTCTTGGCCCTAAGGAAATATAGAGTTCAACCTGAACTTCCTGCACTTCCTAAATATTTGTTGTCCTTTCTTCATAGCACTTATAGCCTCCAATATATTACATACTTATATTTGTTTATTGTCTCCACTAATAAAATTTCTAAGACAAGTTTTGTTTTTGCTTCAATTGCACTATCTCCAGTATCTAGAAAAGTGCCTGATATATGGTAGATATGCAATAAATCATTGTTGCATAAGTGGAAACTCTAGTGAGGAAAGTTTCCTGGAGAACATGACATAGTAATCAACTCATGATCACAAACAGCTTGTATTAATAACAACATCAGGCTATACAATTTCTTTAAAATAAAAGTACATTAAAATATATAGCCACAGGATAGTGCCCAAAATAACTGAAGGACCGTAAGCTACAGAGAAAATATTATGGAAGGGAAATGCTGACGGGGATATAGCTCAAAGTATTTCCATGGTAGTTTTTCTTCAATATGGCAATCAGCAATCCCTCATTCTCCCATCCAGATTTGGAGTTTATACCTGAGGAAGAATGGACCTTGCTTCTGGAATGTAACCTGATTGACCAATAGAATGCATGAGAGTGATGTCCTGGGACTTCTGAGGCTGGGTTATAAGAGACCTCGCATCTGTCACCTAGGCCTATTGGAGCAGTTGCTCTAGGGAAAACAAATCAATGTGTAAGACATCCAACTGCCCTGAGGTTGCCATGTGGTGAAACACACAAGCCACCTGGACAGACTGGGGACATTAAGATACCATGTGGAAATAAAAGCTAAGGAGAATTGGGACAAGCTATTCCACCAAGATGGTACAGAATTCCTGACTCACATATCATAAGCAAAATAAAATGGCTGTATGGAGCCTCAAAGTCTTGAGGTAGTATGCTCCACAGGAATGGATAAATGGAACAATTCCTAATGCCATGCAGAGGAGAAGGAGCATTTATTTTAGATTTAATAATGCAGCATGTGCCAACTATACTGCAATTTTTGACACAGATTTAACTGAGATTATTCTGGTTTGAAGGGTAAACTACAAAGAAACATATGACCGAAAGTTTAACCGTTGGGTCAGAGAACACATTAGAGACTCAGATA